GCGGCACCCAATCAGCTCGGGCTGTGCTGGCTTTCTGGAAGTATTCCAGGGCCTCTCGTGACCTGCACTTGCAAGGCCGCGGCACCTACATCACCGCAAAGGCGGAGAGAAAGGTGGCCAGCTTGAGAAACGGCAAGCACCGCACCGATCCACCCACACACACACACACAAACACACACCATCCCACTCTCAAAGTTTTGGATAACATCTCGGAGTTACAGACAGTGCTGACTCAGGACCATGAGTGTGCGGGAGGGTTATGTCGAAGCATCTCATGCAGCTTATTGTTAGTGCTGCTGGTGTTGTGTGAAACATCAACCCTCATTTGGATGCCTCCTTCAACCCTTGATCATCGTGGCAGAAGGTCGGATATTGGGTGGATGATAAGTTCGATCGTTGGGAGAAGGACGTGCAGGGACCATTTCGTTGCATGCTTCCGTGATGTGTCAGAAGATGGGCGTCTCCATGAACGCGTCCTGAGTTCCAACGGATTGCGAGGGGAGAGTCGGCAGGACGATGCAGCCGCTTCGTGAAGGCGAATAGGCCTCTTCGCCAAACATCCGGTTGCTGGCTGCGAGCAGGAGTTCGAGATTGTAAAGGGCTTAGCTTCGTGCTGCAAGGAAGGCTTTGGAGGACGAAGTCAAGCTCCGTCTTCGCACGTTCGCGACCAAGGCTGACGCTAGCTCGTCGTTTAAACTGTTACCATGATGCCTCTTAACTCTTAATATCCAGTAGTCGCCACCCCAGCTGTAGTCCAATTACCTTAAGCAGGCCAGGACAGGTCACACAGTTCCTGGAGACTAGTATGCGAGCAAACCCATTGCACCTTCGCGCAAATCGCTGCGGAAGCAGTAATTCAGGTTGCGGGCGAGTAAAAAGGGCCCAGGATGGATTAAACCTGACATGACATGGGTTTTGAGGCAGATGTGTCGACTCGCCACATCTGCGTGTTATACCCTGGGCCCGGGTCCTTTTTAATGCACTTGTACAACTCTTGTCTCGTTGGAGCCCCAATCTTCGACTGATGCAACTGACGCAACCGTGTCAGTCTGTCTTGCCATGATGGAGCCATAGAGCTGCAAGGTCGAAATGTGCACAAGCTTCAAGAAGTCTACAGTCCTAACCGAAAGGTTCGTGGCACTGGCTCCGCGTGTGCCGTTTCACCAGCACTGCATGCTGTGGGGTTTCATATTCAAACAGATCGTCATCACTCTTTTTCTCTATCCTGCAGCTGTGCTTCGCCAGGACGGGAATATCCCCTTGCTCCGATTGCCTGGAAAAAGGTGTAGGATTGGCAACCATCCGGTTTCTGGGCTTTGCCTGGAGTTTCGATGGAAGGGGGTGAAGCGCAGAGAAGCAGGAAAGGTATAATATTATCAAGCCGGGAGGAAGGATTTCAGGGAAAACTTAATTTTTTCTGCGAATTTGTATGGAAAACCGTTGTAGCAAATGCCGACTACCGACAGCTGTAAGGAGGTTTTGCCCAGGTCAGCATGCAACTCCTTTGTCGTGGTGTAGCTTATTCCGATCTTTTTCTTGTGAGAGAACGGCCCGTTCCTCCCTTGGCTGTGCAGCCAAAACTAGTTTGCCTGCTTTTTTGTAAGCCTGCGACACTGCCATTCTCTCCGAAGTTCTCCTGCATTCACAGGGGGCCCAACGCCATCCACTACAAGTCTTTCGAGATTTCGAGCATCGCTTGAATCTTCAAACTCCGGATTTATGACTTCGGAATGGAATCCGCGGGGCTAACCACAGCTGACCTTCACAGGCTTGACGCCTTCGAGGCAGCGAAAGCACCTACTACGCCAAGATCCTTGCAGAAAGCTCCTCACCCGGACCTTGATGCTTCATTATGCTTCCGCACATATGCAGCCTCGCATTTGGTCACGTTTCGAGCGAGTGGCGACGGCTGCTAAAGCTTGGTGGGTGGCGCGCCTACTGCTGCTGCTGCTGCTGCTGCTACTACTACTACTACTACTGCTACTACTACTCATGGATTTGCCACTTCTACCACAGCCACCCCTTCCCCTACCATTACCACCACCGTAACAACTACCACTGCCACTACCAGTATACCACTACCATTGCAACTGTGATGATACTACCACTACCATTGCCAGTGCCGCTGTCAGTGCTATACTGCGGCTGTATTGTTGCTGCTGTTGCTTTTATTACTGCTGCTGCTACGGCAGCTGCCATTGCTTTCTGGTAACCCGAACTCTGGTAAAACCCCGGGGTTTGTTAGGTTGTAACCGAAACCCTCTGCCTTGAAAAGCAGCACCTTCATGCACGACCTAGCCCAAATGATGCAAGTTTAGACAGTCGCTCACATGGATTCTTGCAACATCTTGTGTAAGTAGCAAGACCAGCTGGTATCGTAACATTCGCGGCTTTGTCAGAAAATTGCAGGCTGTAGTATCTGCATCTGCGAATTTCCATGCCACTAGTCACTCGCATCAAAGGAGTTGTGCTGCCAGCAGGCAGAAGGGGAGCAAGAGGCAAAGAGCAAAGACATTTATGCGCTTTCACAGTGGCCTTCGCCAACACGTGTGTTGTAGATATTCTGACAGAGGCGATGATTGGTCATGTAGGTCAGAGGAATGGGCTAGATCCGTTCTGGAGCCATGGCTCGAAGCCAGGGCCGCGCCTCGATCTCTCTCCTCGTAGTGGCGTTCGTAGGGGCCTCACGAGCCGGGTTCTCTCTTCGATCTTGAGCCGTCATGAATCGTTGCCTGCAGTCTCAGGTTTCCAGTATACTGCCCTTGCACGTTCAACCTTGGAAGATTGCTGCCTGGAATCAGCACAGGAAATCTAGCTACTTCCAGAAAGATGCTGGGCAGCAGTGACCGGCACATTGTAAATTCCGGGCACTTTGCTGACTGTCCAAAAGCAACAGCCTAGGACTGTGTCTGGGTTTCCACATTGCAGAGAATGGGGTATCACAAGCAGGACATCGTTGACGCAATAGGAGACCTCAAGGTGAGGTACTCGCCAGGTGAGCTGCAACGGTGGGCCTCTGGCTATGATATTATTGCCATCCAGGAAGCAGATCCGTTGTTTTGCGAGGCCTTGGGAACATTGAGCCTCCGCATGTTACGTGGACAAAACGATCTAGATGGCCGCGGAGTGCAGGTAGAATCCTGCTCTGCCCTGATACTGCGAAATGCAGAGTGTGTCTGCCAGCAGAGCGCGGTGTTGAGCTTCAAGCCGTTCGGTCGTCGCGTGACGGTGTCTCGTGAGCATTTTGTGGTCCGCGTGGAACGACCAAACGACGGGGAACAGCTGGTCATTTGCTCGGTGCATTTGCATGTGCCGAGCATGATTTCTCGCTCTCGGATCACTCTCGCCGACTATTTGCAACCATTGCGGGACGCGCTAGAGTCCGTAGCCGGTAAGGGAGGCGACGGGAGGTTGGAAGTGCCATGTCTTCTCCTCGGAGACTTCAATATGGATCCTAGCATGTTCAACCAGCTGGCACATGATGATCCATTCTGGAAGCAGTGCTTGGGACGACAGTGGCAAAGTGGTTTTCTTGGGAGTCTACCAGTTGCTTGTAAGCCCATGCTGCATCCCTGCCAGACATGCCGTATCATTGCCTGCTCAGCTATTGTTGAGGTTTCAGTCCATCGTTCCGGAGGGTGGTGCGACAGCACACTCCTCGAATCCGAGTATGCAGGGTGACTTCGCCGTCACCACGGCTGGCGAATGGCAAGGCAAGTCAAAGTACAGGGGTTTCAGGAGGCATTACATGACTACTGACTGCTTGTGCCTGCAGGCAAGGCCATGGGAAGCTCAAGTTTCCAAATTTTCGAGCGCTACGCTGCTCAAGTCTCTCAGGCGGAGCAGTACCATGCAGTACCGCTCTTGGCTGTGACATTTTCTGAGGGGCGGTCCCGCAAGGCCCTCTGCGAGCGAATTCATCTGAAAGATGCGCATCGGCGCTGCCAAGAGGTTCCTTCAATGCTGCAAAACAGCTGCTGTGCTGTGTATTGCTGCACTGCAGCGTCAATGTGCAGTGAGGCTCGGAGAGGCCTTGGGGAGATGGAAGCGTCGGTGTCCCACGCCGCCGAAGACGTGGTCCGGCTGCGCTCCCTTCAAACCGAGGTGCGCACCCAAAGCGCACCAAACAACACGCCCCCGAACCCCGAGGTTTGAGAGAAGCCGGATTCACTCGCCAGGCGCCCCAAGCGCTGCGGGACTCGCTGCACGCCGTGCGCGCTGCACGGCTGCGGCTGCTCAGCGCCGAGCACTGCCTCGACCACTCCCTACGTCGAAATGTCCCTTTGCGACGGTCGCTGTTGCTCCTGGGCAGAATCAGATGGATGTTTGGCGGAGAGGACTTGAATCGTCACAAGGAACTCGGACCATCGGCCCCTCTCTTTTGAGGGGGTGCTGTCGAAGGCCTGGTGCTGTTGCTTTAAGATCCTGGCCTTGAGCTGTTTCAGCGCAGGATTAAGAGTGAGCCAAAGGATGCCTCTCAGGTTTCATTTGATGTCGTCGCCACAGCAAAGTCTCTGTGTGCTCTTTGTGAAGTTTAGCCAGCTACATCCTGGAAAATGTCTGAGCCAGAATGGGTCGGGAACGGGGTCGTGCAATGCCTTCGTGCCCGTGGGCACTGCGTTGCTGTCATGTGTCAAATCGCATGTTTCTAGCTCATAGAGTCATAGAGCCCATGGAAAAAACAGGTCATGAAATTGTTTGTTCGTCAAAGTCGCCGCCAGGAAGACATGAGATCAGACATGCAGAAGATATGACAGCTTACACACAGCAAGCGAGATACAAACGGCCGGCACATTGAACTGTGGTTTGGTTTGCTGATCTGCGGAACGCCGTCAGCCAACGTCGGAAATGCTGCGAAGAGGGCGTGCAGTGAAGCGCTCAGCGTTGTCAAACGATGGGGTTCCTATTGAAAGGCAACAGAAGATCAGTTTCTCGCTACCTCTTTCATTGTTTTGAAGCGATGCTTGTCCACATGAGGTGCATCGTAAGATGGACATCTGATGATTGACTACAGCGAGTCATGGCTCATCCTCACGCTCTTGAAGTGGAAAGGCCCGTCTGCTCAAGACAGGATTGTTGGCAAGTCTGTTCGTTGTAGACGAAGCCTAGACCCTAAACCCTTCTATGCCCGTGGTTGTGGCACTGCTGCACAGCCCTTCCTTGGCAAACAAACGCTCACTGGAAAGGTGCAGCAACCCCAAGATTGACTGGCAAACCAGAACCGTAAACTGCTGCGTCACTGATCCTGGACTGAAACTGCATCATCAATTGCGATTTTTGTGATTGCATGCCGATTCTGTATCTGCCTCTGGGATCGTGAACGAAGCTGAACACACAGGCAGATCCTTATCAGGATTTCCATTATCATTGCACTGTATGCAGATGCAGCGATGCTTCCAGAACATGGCAGTATCAGTATCGTGTGAGAAACAGGATCCGTCTTCCCTCGGTCCTGCCTCTTTGCGCTGCCAGCAGCCCTGATCACCGTGGTCCTCGTGCAGGCTGAACGCCCTGATGAAATATTTGATAGCGCATTGAACCGGCATCTAGGCTCAAGATGTCCTGGAGTTCGACCTGCGGCAGGACATGTTTCAGTCACACAAAATCTCCAAGACCCTTCCTCTTTGCGCAGGAGCTTGGTTTGATGGATGCTCATCGAAGTCAGCTTTGGATAATTTCTTTAGGCTGGGCGCCCGTCACCGCCGTAGCAAATTGCAAGTGCCCTTTTGACAGGTGTCCTCCATGCTCTTCTGGTCTTTCGCATCAACCGGGTCATGCACCTAAAGTTTGGGCATCGAGCTCCGTATCCAAGCGCAAGAGAAGCTGTCGCATAGAAGGCGATGGAGCGCTTCTGGGAAGGGACTGGCCTGCTGCATCAGGACGGCGCATGCCCTTTGCAGCTGTGAGCACTCGACTTGCTCCCCTCACTTGTGCTGCATGCGCAGATGCGGGGAGAATGGTTCGATGCGGTGAGTTGCTGCGTGACATTTTCTCGGGCATCAATGGTAAGCAGGCCCTTCACCTAGACGTCAACAGTTTCATGATGACTCGAAGACGGCCATGCCCAACATAACTTCAGGCCTCAAGACACAATGCGGTTCCGACATGCGATAGTGCGCCTGGGCCCTAGTGCTGCTAATTATCTTGAACCCACAGAGGGTCACTGTGCAGGTGTAAGGACGGGGCTGACGTTTTAAGAGCAGAGTTTGTCGTTGGCCTGCCGCAGTCAGTGCGGGGTTCGGTTGGGTTTGGGCAAATTTTGGGATTGGTTTGCGACTGGGCTATGAGGGCGCAGTTGAGGTGTTTGGACTTGGTTTTGCTTTCTTTGATGGGGTTTGCAAGGGACCTTGAGTTGCGGCGTCACGGGCCTAACTGAGGGTTGCTTCAGGGCTTTAGACGGTTGGCTTTGCATGAGTGCTACTAGAATACTAGACTACTAGAACATATGTGTAAAGTCTGTAACGGGATCTTTTCTTGTGACGAGTGCACATACCCTCGCATGATCAGACTCCAAGGCTTGATGAGCCTCTGCCATGGAAGTGCTTTGGAGGAGATCGGAGGCTCTGGGTGCTTTCAGCCTGGAGGAAAGGTGTCGCATCCTATACGAAAGGCGAAGATGGAGACTTTTGCGAGACCATCGATGCCTGTTCGAAGTGATGGAGGGTAGATGCAATTGGCGGGACGGAATCTTGGGCTTGGGTGGGCTTGAACTGCCGAGGATTCGCATGGCTTGGCCACTCGCACCTTGGAGCACTTGACAGACTGTGCAGAGGCCAGAACAGAGAGCTTAAGTTTCAAGCTCATGGTCCGTTCAGTAGCATCTTCCATCGTGCGCGCCGTCGTTAACGTTGCCCCGGCAGGAGTACGATTTCAATCGGGTTGAAGTGCTGCTGCACATGATCCAGCCCCTCCGAGCAATGCGGACTTAGCTGACTCGAAGATCCTTGTGCAAACTGTGAAGCAAATCGTTCTAAGGTCACTCATTACTCACAATTTGGATGTGGGGGTGCTGCAGCTTGTTAGCAGACACGCCCCCCTTGATCACACACTTGTGTTTTGCTGTGTCAGACATCGGGGATTTGCTCGAATGACACTTGAGTTGTGCGATGGCATCCAAGGAAAGTGCAGCCCCCCATCCTGTCTCGAGTCTATCAGACCCTCTCCAGAGGATTCGTGAATCTTTTAAATGCCAAGAAAATTGCAGATACGAGGCCGGCCTGTGCTCGCACCTGGAATGATCCGAGCGAACTGTTGGGTCCCAGGTTTCCGTTCCCTTTCGCGCAGCTCATTTCGGCGCTCTTGCCGCTCTACGTGCAAGGAGTATCGCTGTCACCGTTCGCTGCTTGGTCACTTGTGTGGCTGCCGATCCATTTGTTCTGCTGAGGTTTTTGCACATTGCGGGAACCTTAGCCAAGTTGACTGTAGAAGACCCTTGCCGTTGACTTGCCTCTGATGTGCAGCTGGGAAAGGTACTACTTCCTGTTCTGATTTCGGCGGTGATTTCGCAAGCATACCTCTCAGCACAGAATCGGCTTGACGTGGCCTCTCGCATCGCTGAGCCGTGCTCTCAGGCATGGTTAGCCTTCACGTTCACGTTTCTTCCAATCTTCTCGATGTCCTGGCCTCGGGACGGCATCGAAGCAAGGCATAGTTCGTTATCCCTTTTGCTCTGGCTGTGTAGAATTTTTTGTTTAAGCTTCCAGCAGAGCTGAGTCGCTTCTGTCTGGGTGAACTCAACAACCCTTTGTTGCGGCGCTTGTGAATCACTCCGCTGATGTCTGGATATCCGTTTCTGATTTGCTGAATATTCCAAGAGCCCGAGAGCCATTTAGCAGAAAGGTGGTGTTTAAGTGGCGAAGTTGTGTAGCTCGCTGTGCAGTTGTCCACGAGCAATAAAATCGCGTTTACCACCTGTTGCCCCAGCATCCTTGGTTTATGTGGTGAGCCTGGAATGTCACGGCAATGCATCTTCCATGGGAACACAGAGATGATGACTGCTTGTGCTCCAGAATCCAGAATCCATTCCATTCAGATGATAGATATCTATGAGTTCTTTGGGTGAAAGTCTTTCCGGAGACATGTCTGCAGCATTGTCAGGTGTTGTCTCAACTACATCGGAGTTGAGCTTGAGAACCCGTTCGGTCGAGATGATAACGACTTGCCCTTGAAGCACTTCCAGGTGCTGCAGCTTGGAGCACAACAAGAGAATGAGAAAGCTGAAGACAAGATTGAGCGAAAGAGTACTGACCAGACGGGTACATTTCTCGATCGACCGGTGTGTTGGGCTCCATTGGCTGCAGCTGTGCATGCTTCTAAATTGTAGATGCCACGCGTTGCAGAGTTGCTGACCGCATGAACGCGAGGCTGTTCAGAATAGCGTGGCTTAGAGTCATGATGGAACCCCTCATACGAGGGCTCAGCTCAATCTTCATACGCCGTAGTGGCATGTCAGCAACTTGTTGTAGATTCTTGGCAGCGTCTAGTTCCCTCGCCCAAATGCCCGAGTGTCCGATCTGCCTGCAAGTGATCCACGACGCTTGGCGAAATGTGCAGAAGAGCATGCAGAGCCCAGCCCACGTCAGCCCATGCTGTGACATGTCATGGCTCTGCTTCTGGGGACATGCGAGAAGCACTGAGAGTGTATTGCGGACCGAACCGAGGATCCGTTGTGGGCACCGTGCAATCACAAGTTTTGTCGCTGCTCGGATCGAATTGATCTCGTCTGCTGCCGTTTTTGGGCGATCCATGATTTTCGATCAGTCCCCGCGACAGGCCACTGCATCATCCAGGTGCTGAAGAGCCGTGCGCCCGAATGGGCCGGGGACTGCCCGCTCTGCCGAATCCACATCAGTGTCTCGACCACAGGAAACAGCAGCCGGGCAGGGCCTAGGGGGGCGAGGCGGCGAGGCTCCAGAAGGTGACAGAATGTGCTAAGGGGTAGTGTAGTGCAGCGAAGCGCAGTGCAAGTCTGTGGTGGCTCTTGTGTTGTGGGTAACAGGCCATGGACTGCTTCCATGCAAGCAGGCGAAGTGCCACCAAGGCAATCGATTGATGTCATATTGTGTAAACAAGAGCCCAGGTGTCTACAATCTGCGCGATGAACACGACGAGCTTCTTGTGCAACCTGATGTGCTCGAACTCTGGGGTTGCATTTTCGTACAGAATGGACAGACAGGCGCGGCCCATGGCAGACGAAAAGGATGACGAGCCATGTGCTTTGTTTTTTTTAGTTTGCGTTTGTGCACCGTCAACCTGGAAGGTTTGGCCAGCTATCATTTTGACTCGCCAGATCAATGTTACATATCTTACGAGCAGGCCCCAGCGCATTGGCGAAACTTGGCTTTCCTCATCACTTGCTTTGGAATTTGCGATCGAATGTACATCGAGACACTGAGAGTTCTTGCTTAGGCTTGGATGATGGCAGCAAGCCACCTTCCAAGAAGTACTGGACAGATGTCAGCTTTGACGCAAAAAACTCAACCTTCCGCGGCATCATCTCTTGGGATACCCCATTCGATGGAGAGACCAAGTGGGTGTACCGAATTCAGTTTTCTGAAGACTTTGCTGGAATTATCGGTGGAGATCTAGTTGCAACATCGGTTGACGGCTCGACAAAAGCCACGCCGTTTCGGGCCCCCTGGATCTATGAGTGGGACCATCACCTTTCCTATTTGCGCTGGACGCCTCCTCCCAGCACGATCTTTGGCAGTGTGTATGTCCAAGGGGTGGTGTATGCTGGACACCATGAAGGGGTTGCAAGCTATCATTTCGAGAGCTTGGACAATTGTTACATATCATATGCAAACGCTCCGGATTCTTGGGTTCTGGATGATGGCTCTCTACCTCCCCGCAGGAAACCGTTTGAGCAGGTTTCGTATGAGGAGGACACGAGAACCTTTCGTGGAGTTGTCACATGGCCACAAGGATTTGATGGAGCTTCGCGTTGGGAGTATACCATAGTGTTCTCACAAGATTTTAGTTTCATTTCTTCTGGGAAAGTACAGCCTTATGGACGACGTGGCTTCGCAATGCGTGCTCAGCATTTCGGAGATCCCACAGCCGGTTTGATGTTGGTACCGGTCCTGTACTATACGCGGAAGCCATCTGTACTGGCGGCCAACGAGATGCTTCGTGCAACACTACTGGTGGAGGACGATGTGCAAGAGGAGGAAGCCCACAGAACCGAGACAGAAAGGTCACAGCAAGGACCTCCATCGGACAGAGAACGGAGTTGTAGTGTGCAGTAGCGGGAGGCAGATTGCGCAGGCTCCTTACCTATTGTCGCTACTGTTCACCGAGCAGGCGAAGGACGAGAAGACCCCTCGGGGGAAGACGTGATGCTTGTCGATGCCAGCCTAGTTTGCCTAGTTGGCGGGCAATGCAGCCTAAGCTCAGGTAGTCTGACGGCAAGCTGGCTGAATTCATCTCAAAGGGAGTCGAGACTAGCCAGCTGTTTGAACTAGAACTGGCGGCTAGTGTTGGATCACGCCCACGGCTCCAGGACAGCACCGGCTCTCTTTTCAATCTTCCCTTTTCAGCCTTGGTGAGTCCAGTCAAGCAAGTGTCACGTGCATTAAAATGCTTCCGCCCAAGCTATGATGCACAGATATGTTGTCAACTGAAAGATCTTTGGCTGCTTGTCCTCGCGATAGGCTGAGATGAACAACTGCCTGCTGATGCTGCTGCACTACAGCGCGGACTTGATGGCCGGCGTTAGCAAGCAGGCCAGAGGTCGAACCATGTGCGTGGATCACGAAGAGGCGTGTGCTCAACCTGTCGATTTATTTGTTTCATTCCCTGCAGCGCTGTCTCATGGACATCATGGAGATCAGAAAGGCTATGCACGGCACTTTGTCCGAAAGCAGCTGGGCCGCGTTTACTGCAAGCAGAGTTGTGAAGAACGGCTTCCAGCCGCGAGGCGTAGTCGTGACTGCATCGTGGGAGAAGAGCATCGGTTGAGCTGGTTCTGATGCTTGCTCGAAGCATAGGTTGGCTTCAGGAAATCATCGACAAGGTTGCGGCGGCTGTCTGGACATGCAAAGCAGCTCTGTTGTTTGAAGGTTCTTATTGTGCACTTAGTCAATCCCAGAGTTTTACGAAACGTGACTGCTTGCAGCAACCAGACCTCACTTTGCTGTGTTGTTTGTATCTCACATGCCAAGCTCGGTGCAGCATCATCTGTCGGAATAGCGAGGGCAGTTTGGCTTGCCTTGCAGGCGCCAGGCAGCCCTGCCGAAGCCAACGTCAAAGACGTTGAGGCAACGTTTGCCTTTGAGAAAGGGCTCTGGGCAGTGACTGTCCAATCACCTTCATTGTGCCAGTACCTCCCAGGTCGTAGTATTATTGCACTTGTTGTTTGGGTGTTGTTCCCCATTGGGAGGAGGAAGAGTCTCAGCCCAACTCTGTACAAGAAGCTGGCGTGGAGGCTCGTAGACTGCAAGAACTGGGATCATCTTCGCTCGCAAATGGCCACAGTAGGCAACCATTGGCTAAACGGGTTTCGAAAGATCACCAAGCTGCAGCTGCAGTGTCCACAGGTTGTCCTGCCATTAGCGACACAAGGTGGGCGCTGGGCATTCCATGAGATCCTCAAGTAGCTACAAGCCGCGTGCCGTGTGGACACATTGGTCTTGTGCAGGCGAGACCTCGTCGGACGGTGGAGCTGCTCCGATTTTCGAGGAGCCCGCCTTTGAAGAGAAGCTGCAGCCTACAACACTGCTACAAGGCACGGCGGAAGCTTAGTGAGAGCTGCTGGGGTTCACGACATCATGCGAGGCATGGACCAGGCAGTGATGGCACTGACGGGTATCAGACAGGCCTTCGTCTGGAGCGTTTGTGATGACAAGGGTGTGTCTCTTTTCACAGCTAGATGGAACTCCTTGTTCGGTCAGTTTGGTCAATTCTGGGCTTGACTCCTGGAGGCGATAGCGATGCAAGCGACTGATGTGGATCGAAGCATCGATGGGTTCTTGGTCTTGGCAAAGAAGCTCAGGACCAGTCGCAATTCAAACCGATTCCGTACTGGAAGTTGGAGCAGTGAGAGGGGTTGCTTCAGTGTCCGAAACTCAACAGTGACTGATAGGACTCAAACCGACGATCTTATTGCAGACGAAGCCGAGCCAGCAGACGTGGAGTTCACGTTTGGATGGGACTGAGCCGGGCTCAGGGAATCTCAGAGATTTGGCGCTCGTTGGAGCTTCGCCGTCGTAGACTAGCTACACCTCGACAGCATCCCTACCTTAGATTTGGACATTTTCGGCAGATTTCAGGGGACGGCTCATGACGGCAGTGCCGAGGCTCAGCTATTCCCTCCTTTGAGGCCTCCAGCTGAGGCTCGGCTTGTTTGGAAGCCCGTCTTGTCGGGAAGATCTTGGGCAGCAGACGTAGGTGGCTGCGCTACGTTGAAAGGAGACCAGCCTCAGAGCCTCGTGAGATGAGCTCCGTGCAGACGCGACACTCAAAATCGTCTGCAGCAACGCTCGATTCAACTTCTGCAGAGTCATGACGTTGTCGCTGCTGCATTTTTCGCCTGCAGCAGAGATGCTGTCGGTGCCGGGGCACAGAGCTTGTCAACGACATTTGGGGTGCTTGGGTGTTCTGCATAAACAGTCAGTGCATTCCTAGCTGTGACTCGAGCAGCAATTTCGGCGGGGATGGGTTCAGACAGATGTCTCGGACAATCGTCGCCGACCTGCTTGCCACGGTTAGTAGATGAGATGCCAAGCTGAAACCAGCATCGGTCTTCCTTGCGTAGATTCTACGCGAGCGGCGTATCGGCGCCCTGTAGCTGGCACCTTGCGAGCGAGCGCTCCTTCGACCAGTCAGCTTTTCTCACCTTCCCGAGTCTCAGGAGGACAAGCTCAAGCTTGGTGATGCCGTGATACCGGGCATGGGCATCGAAGGAACGGAAGTTCGATGTTGACTAGGCATTGCTTCTAAGAAGCAATACTGGAGTGCTCAAAGATACTATCTACCAAAAAGAGGGTAGCGTCATGCTGAGAAGCTTGTCTGCTCGTCTACGTTGACCTGAACCGCAGCTTGAAGCATTGCCCTCGTGCCTCCGTCCTCTCCTACGTGTCTCTGGACTTGGAGCTATGGTGTCGAAGGTTCAGAAGGGCACGAAGCGCCCAGCTCAGGCCAGGTAAGGTTTCCCAGTCTCGCTGTTGTCTTTCTGTCGGAGTCGCCCCGACAGCAAAAGGAGCCCGCGGCGAGCGAGGCCAAGAAGCTGAAGGAGATGCTGCGGAAGCACGGCGTGACGAAGTCAACTTACGATGGCCACTTTGGTCCTAATTTCATCGACGCTCTAAGCCCGCCTGCCTTTCCGCTTCATCGTGCTTCCAAGGCATCGTTGAAGCCATCCAGCACCCGTTGGCGGAGAACTTAACGGACTCCGTTCGCCAGATGCTTTTGGCAATGCTTCCAGAGGCAGATAAAGCTCCGCCTGCACATGCTCTGCCCCACTGTGAGTTGAGTAGATCAGTAGGTTCAGCTGTGTGTTTTTGCTGCCAGGGCCTCTGTGTTCCAGAAGACAAGCGGCACGAGGCCCAATCGAGCTATGTTAACATGGTCTCGGAGATCTTTGAGGGCATCTTGAAGAAGTTAAACGATAACGTGGCTGGTGCTGCGGCAGAAGTCGCCCGCATCGAAGCATCCAAGTCTGGCCTGGAATTGAGAGTGACGGAGTGTGATGAAGCCCTGCAAGCTGCAACCACCCATGCGGTCGAGTGCAAAGTAAAGTTGGCTGATGCCACCAAAGCAGTTCTTACTTGCAAATCGAACTTGGGGGACAAAGAGAAATTGCAGAAGGAAGGAGACGTTGCTTTTCAGGCCGCAAAGGCGGAGAAAGTCGCCCTTGAAGGAGCACTCTCCGAAGATTTTCGCTTGCTTCGAGACGGTGAGGTCGAAGGAGCACTTGCGGATACCCACTACAAGAAGCTGGAAGTATTGGCCAGCAATCTTGACTTGGAAGCCAGTTTGATGTCAGCCCTGCCTACCTGTATGGTAAAGAAGCCTGCTGAGCGAGGATCCTTTGATACCATGGTGGTTGCCCAGCTCCAAGACAAGCTTGCCAAACGAGTCGCAGACTTGGTTGAGATCATCCAGTCGGGTGAGCCAAGTGCTGCAGCACGGCAGCAAGCAGTCGACAGTGCCGCCAGAGATCTGGATGCCGCCAAGCAGGTGCAGCAACAGGAGGCAGAGGCCTTGCAAGCTGCCACAGACCTTCAAAAAGCATGCGAGGGCCGCAGGGCAGAAGCTTTGTTGAACGTGGAACAGCACGAGCCCCAGCTCACGGCAGCCAAGAAGACCGTGGTCGACAATGAGATCGAACGGGATGTGTTCCAAGACCGCAACCTCGTCTGCTTCAACACGCTTCAGAACCGGCAAACCGAGACGAAGACGAAGGACATGTCTGAAGCGCGCCAGCAGCTGGAGATTGCAGTGCATCTGGAGACAGCTGAGGCAGGGGCTTGAAGCCATGAATGTGGCTAATCATCCGATTCGAATTCGAGCATGGAATGCTCGGAACGTACATACTGCAAGCAAAAAGATTGTGAATGCTATGACAGTGGTCACAGAAAGCATTCTGAAGAGTTGATAATTGGCTGAAACCCTGAATCCTAGCGGTCCAGCCTCTGATGGCAGTGACGGTTCTGAATCAGTGAAGCAAGCTCGCGTTTGCCTGAGGGCAGGCAGAATCTCAAGTTCCGCGAGCTGGGGCCATCAAGCTGACAGCAGGACAGCAGGACAGAGGTAAAAAGGTCCCATCTCCGCGCGTTGTGCTTCTGCTCCACATCAGGCATCATGGTAGACACGGCTTCTTCAAATTGCCGCAAACTTTGCATTTTCCATGTCTTTTCCGCACGCTCACAGGGTTGCATGCCCAAGATGAGTTGAACATGAGGTCGTCATGCTGGGCGTTTGCATGAAACCAGTTGGGCTGTCCTATCTGCCTGAGGGAGGACATACGCTGTTGCAAGACACAGAGCCGGATGCCTGACTATGGAGCATCGTCAGCAGTTCCTTGGAATTCGAGCCCGAACAAGCGCATATCTCACCTTCGAGCAGAGTCATCCGTTCCAAGATCTTCTAGACAAAGTTATGTCGGAAGACAGCAATGCAGCTCTGTTTGATGCGACTTCAAGCCTAGTGAACTGATGGGGCTAATGCGCCTCTTGAAGATACTGGCCCTGCATGTGGCTGCTGCGAGTGCGGCTGTTGAGGTCCAGCGCAAGGGAAGGGACCTCGCGCTGTTGTGCTATGGAAACCCCAGGCCAGACCTAGAAGGTCGGGAAACATTTCGCCAGGCTAAGCACATCCACAAGCAATCCTGTGCGCTTCGGCGAGTGCACAAGCTGCATAGCCCCAACCCGTAAACTCTCACAGAAGCGTGCCATTGAAACCCGGAATATCTCGGAAGCCCTCCATCTCAACAGGAGTGATGGCTCGCCGAGAATCCCCAAGCCCGCAAGCACTGAAATGGCATAAACAAGTGAGCACGAAGCCGAAGACTTCGAGACGGCGTCTGCGTGCAGATGAGAAGGGGGACATCCAGACAAGGAAGGAAGGAAAATGAAGGAAGGAAGGAGGGAGGAAGGAAGGAAGGAAGACGACTTCCGAGGAAGTAGCAGCAGCGATGGCGCTTTCCCGGAAGACGAACCTAGTGGCTATGACGTCAGCCTCACACGCTGAAGGTCGCCAGTCCGATCCGGGCCAGGTGTATGACTCTTCCCACGCCTCTGAATGCTCCCATCGTCTAAGCAGAAGCTGGGGATTACTGGATGGGATGCGGTGGAGTTTCGGAACGAGAGGCCTTCCTTGTTGAAATGTATTTGCCTCGTCATGGCTATGCTGCGCTTGTCTAACCGGCTGCCATGGCTGCCTCAGTAGTGCAAGGGTTAGGCTAAGGGGGAGGATGGGCAAAGCGCGCCAGAGGCTTCAGCGGGGTCGTTCCGAAACAAGGGTTTCAGTGTGGTTCATGCCGGACTTGGGCCAAGATGCCCCACGCGGACGAACATCCGGCCGAGCGGCTGCATGGCGCGCAGGGGTGCCCACCCAAAGGGGGAGGCCCTTGAAGCCCGGAGAGGAAGGGACGAAACCCATGCGAGAAAGTGTCCCAGAAGAAGTCAAAGTGATGCAGAGCATTGGACAGTCCACAGGCTACAAGTGGCAACTCTTGTGTGCGAAGGAGGGCAAATGGGGCTGGATCGATGTGGATGTCTGGGCCGCAGAGCCTGAAGGTCAACAGTGGGATGGTGTGTGTCGGCCAGGTCTGGTACTGCCTCGCGACATGTGTCTGTGCAAGTCGAGCCGAGACCAGCAACATCGATGAAGTCTTGAAGCAGGGCCCGATCTTCGTGAAGCAGGAGACTCAGCACGTCAGCTCGAGCTAGTCGGCGATTCACTCCCCTGGCATGCATGCCTGCAGTGACATTCCCAGCGCAATCCGCGTGAGTGAGAAGGTTCTTTGCTCCATGGTGCTCGCATTGCAAGAACATGGCGAAGGCTGTCAATGGCTCGACAGACAGCACTATGTGCATTGCTCCCTGAGGTTCAAACTCCAAGATCCCTGTGTCAGGATTTCCACCGGGTCGCCCAAGAGGAATTGCCGGCACTGGCCTCGCGCTGCATTGCACGTTTCGTGTCATGTAGTTTATAGTATTTGCTTCTTGACGGGGAGTTCATCTTGAGAAAGTTATTTCCTCCTGGACGAGGATGGTATTCGCATTGGCAGCGACGACCTTGGACTAGACCGCCTGGCTTGAATCGACGGAGTGGCTAAACTGTTGCGCGTTTTCCAGGAGTCGATTCGACCAAGAACCCTGCCCTCAACAAGCGCTTCGGCATTTCTGGATACCCGACGCTCCTTATGTGTCCACCTCAGCTAATCAACGCTGCCTGCCCACACTTCTCACTCGCGGGATGAACTCTAAAGTTGATTTGCGAAGTCGCGAGGCTCAGTGACGAGGGCAGAGACATGAGGAGGCGATCGTTGAAGCCACATGCTTTCGGATCGCATCGAAACATAGTGACACAGTGTGTTTTTCCCTGCAGTTACTCGGGAGATCGTTCTTTCCAGAGCCTCTTGGAGCTCCTCAGCTTGAGTTCGCCGCAGCGAGACTCGGTTTCTTTTAGCCGCCCGTTGCACCCATACGTAAGGTTTGCCACCGGTGGGTGGAAAACGGCGCCGGTGTAGTGCACTTAGAGCACCCAGACTTCCAGCTGGACTGGAGCACTGAAGCCGAGGCACGACCCAACCAAGCCGCGACCAAAGCCGTCCTATAGCGAGCAGCTGCCAGGGCCTCGAAGTGATATTCTTACGCATGCGCTGTTTTCAGGTTGCCGGAAAGTGCAGACAATCCTTGCATCAGAGCTTTTTGTGTTTCTTCAGGAAGAGCCTTCCGTGGACAGTGCCCTGACTTGAGTTTATGAAGATGCTTAATCGTTTTTTGCCGAGATTCGATGTGGGACTCGGGAGATCCTTTGCGGTACTGCTCTTGTGCATGCAGCGGTTCTGTTTCGTTTTGACCTCGCTGGAAAGTCCAAGGTCAAAGCCGTGGGTCTTCTTTTCATCGTTGGCTTGGGCCTCAAGCACCAAAGTAAGGGCATGTGGCTTTTGGGCATTTTTGAGGCTCAATGGCCAAAAGATTTTTGGCTTCAGCGAGACACTTCCCCAACCATGCACATTGCATGCATGTACGTACATACGCATGTATGCACGTGTGTCTGTATGTAATTAATGTAATCTATGTAATCTATGTAATCTATGTATATGTGTATGTATGTACGTAGGTGGGTAGGTAGGTAGGTAGGTAGGTAGGTAGGTAGGTCCGTCCGTCCGTCCGTCCGTCTGTCTGTCTGTCTGTCTGTCTGTCTGTCTGTAGGTATGTATGCATGTGTGTATGTATGTATGTATGTATGTAAGTAAGTAAGTAAGTAAGTAAGTAAGTATGTAAGTATGTAAGAATTCATCAACGTCTCGTTTAGGGTCTGCAATCTCGATGAGTTTGAGGATCATTGCTAAAATTCCATTTCCTAGTTGTTTTCCACCATCGAGCCAATTTTTGACAGGCTGTTGGCCTCGCTTAAGGGGTGTTCGCACCGGATGCAGGAGTAGGGGGATGTGGCAACGGTCCACAGCGCTACGCCGGGATGCGAATGCATCCTGTCCCAGCTTCGTTCGCAGAGACGAGGACTTTGTAACACGGACGTGAAGTATTCATGTATGTATACATAGATGCATGCATGCATGCATGCATGCATGCATGTATGTATGGCTGTATGTATGTATGTATGTATGCATGGATGTATGTATGTATGTATGTATGTATGAATGAATGCATGTATGTGTACGAACGTAAGCCTGTTTACGCGTCCACGCATGAGCTGGTTCACATGTTGTTCATGCAAGGTGCCATGATAACTGCCCGCCAAAGCGTTGCGTGTTGCCAGGGTTGCCCTTGTCGATCTTTGCCGCCTGCTGGAATCTCAGCCGTCAGGGTTCAATGGTCATGTCAGGTTCGAGTGTGACTGTGACGAATGCACGAAGCGGCCAGACTACAGTCATGCTCAGTTGATTGGTTTCCACGGGATTGGGGAACATTCAAGGCAATCAAGCTACAGGCACAAGTGTCCTTAAACTTTGTTGCGAGCATCACATTGGCAGGATGATGTCCAGATAGGGCTTGTTGTGGTTGAATTGCATCTTCCGGAAGCTGAAAAGTTGCCCGACATTGCTGCTGACCGCGGCCGACAACGCCGAGCTAGGTCACTGTGATTGAAAGAGCATGCATGCTGCCTGCAACTTAGCAATTGTCGCTACTGTCGCTCCTTCATGCTCGTGGGTGTGGAAGTGTCGCTGCATGGTGAGTCCTAACTAGGGCCATGGGAGGACGAGTTCCAGAGCCGGTCGAAGCGAGCTACAACTGATCAACGATTGCCAAACAATCTTCATGCTATTCACGCAGCAGAAGCCTGGCTGGGAACCAGTCGGAGGATGAATTACGCTGAACACGTGTCCTTGGCTGATTGTCTTTGTTTACCCCAAATAATTGATAACCGGCTGATGTCAAGCGTAATCCCCGCTGAAGCGGTGAACAGTGATTCTTGGTTAGACTAGTGCACCCAACCAGATGGCGGTGCCACAGTTGCCCACCAAGAACCAGCATGTCGAACATCGAGCGGTTTGGCCAAGGATGAACGTCGTTCGAAGTTATCCATGTAGCTGAAGCTACTTTTGATGGACACTTGACGTGTGACCCATGAAACAGAGGCCAGTGTGTGAACAGCAGTGCTGACAGCGAAGTTGAGACGGCATGACGGCATGCAGAGTTGCAAAGAAGACCATGGGTCCTCGGACGAAGGTGGTTTGCGGGCTGTAGAGTACGCACAATGGGGATGACGGATGACCGTCCAAAAGCTTGCTGCACAGGGCTTACACATCGGGCGGTTTGGCCAAGGACGAACGCCGTTCGAAGTTATCCATGTAGCTGAAGCTACTTTTGATGGACACTTGACGTGTGACCCATGAAACAGAGGCCAGGCCGGTACAGTGCGCGAACAGCAGCATGGACAGCGAAGTTGAGACAGCATGACGATAATCGCAAGCTACAGAGTATGCAGCATGGTGATGTCGCTGTCGCTAATGCTGCACGACGGTGGAGCAGCTTGCGGCACAGGGCACGCACATCGGGCGGTTTGGCCCCAGGATGAATGCTCGAAGTTATCCATGTAGCTCAAGACACTTGACGCGTGACCCGTGAAACAGAGACTATTCTTGTGCAAGGTCATGTGGTGTGTGCCATGTCATGGACGTCTGCACACATGTGCTTGCTGGACAAGAAGATGCCCAACGATCTGTGATCTGTTCCGTCTACGAAGCCTAGAAGTGCTGTCATGTGGACCTTGGTTTTGGTACTTCGGGCACCCGTGAAGGAATGAAGTGTAGCTGAAAACACACCGCAACTCACGTAGCACCCAGCGCCCTTACACGGTGTGGACGTTTCGTTGGTGTGTTAGAGCTGAATAGGAAGGCCGCCGGGCGCAGTTTAATGGCACGCTCCTTTCAGCCCAAAGCGCCGCCGGCGCTGGAGGCTACGATGTCTACTCCGAGAAGAAACGTCGGGACGCAAGGCGAGCTGAGCGCAAGGCTGAAGCCGGCAAGACAGACTGAGAGCAGGAGAGGGACACTATTGAAGGAGTGTCGAAAGTTGCCGAGTGCGCTCATCAAGTGTCTGTTCTGGAGTTTCGCTATCGCTGACTCGTGATCTGAAGTGACGGTCGCAAACGCCTCCGAGAGCGGAGCATAAGCACTTTCGCATTGCCTGGCGCAACTCGGTGTCGTGCTCCAGCTGAACCAGTTAGAGTTAGGTTGCTTTGTGCAACACGAGAAGTGCGAAGGAGAGCCAAGGTTGGTCGTCTCTTGCATGAACACTCTCTAACATGTGGAGCCCATGATGTACTGTGTCTCTGGCAGAGCAATACCCCAATGGCAAGAGCAGAAGACGAGATTGCTAGAGCGTTCCATTCACATGTTTGGCGATGACGAACGAGCAGCTCTCAAGCTTCGAGGAGCTCAAGCGGGGATCATATCTGGTCCAGACTGGTGTCTTCCACTTGCAGGGATTCCGTGGCACTGCCTCTCTGACAGGAGCTGAAAAGCACTGTGGTGAAGAGGTCAGAGTCGACAGCTTCTGAGTCAAGTCCTGATCGTTAACCCTGGCCAGCTTGGAGACCTCCGGGCTGCTTTCGCAGATCAGGGCGCAGCTGCGTGCAAATGTCTTCAAGGCACCATCAGACTGCAGCCTGCCAGCAGCCTGCACAGTACTGCAGCTTTCGTCGCCTGCCAGAGGCAATTGAAAGCTCTCAAGGCGTGAGTGGAACTCAGGCGAAGGAGCTGAGCCCGGGACCGGGCAGTCGAAGCTGCCTTTAGAAGCGAGCTCAAAGAGCCCACAGAATTTCAGGTGACAGAAGCCCCTTTACGTTGCTCTCAATGGAGCTCGTGGCTGAGTTTTTCCAGGCTGGCAAACCTGCTTACAGTGCAACTGCCGCCTCCCCTACTTGTATGCTTATGCCTCATGACTGCTGCCTGGGGGAGTGTGGGTTAGCTCATGATTGCGTGAGCCCGGCAGTTTCATGGCCTTCATCACTCCCTGTCTGTCTTCCGGTGTGAGGCAGGGTTTCAGGCATCGATCATGGCCCCTGTTCTGTCGTCCCGATCTGCGATTCTGGCCCTTGCAGGCACAGCTAACAACGTCGTGTACAGAAGCCCCGACTTCTCTTCGGAGGCCTACACCCTTCGGAGTTCCGTTTCGGCGCCAGGCGTAAGACATGGTAAGCCTGCGAGGCGCAGTGAGCTGATTGCGGAGATGGACCTCGAGCCATGCCCTCAGAGCTCTTCAGCACGATCCCATGCAGTTGAGCTTGTGCCAGGCATTCGGAAGCTGAAAACTGCTCCGTGCTCGAGCACCTGGTAGAAGCCCGGAGGCACGTTGAGCCTGAATAGATGGTTCGTGATCTGCGAGAGGATTCGTTTGCAGAAAGGAACCGTTTTGAAAAAGGATCTTCCCAGAATCGGACATCACAATACTTCGGAGAAAAAAGTCACTGCTGCGACGGCTTCATGCTGAAGCCAACACTCGTCACTAAGAAACTTTGGCTTGAGCAAGGATCTTAAGGAGGAATACTTTGATTTCATCACTGCGACACGGAAAGATACTGAAGGGCTGCCTGCAAAGCTGCTGAAGAAGAAGGGCAGGGCCCGCGGGATTGAAGCAAGCGAGTTCACCAACGAGACAGCAACCGGCAACACCCCTCTCAGGAAGTGCTGCCGGGGCAGGAGCATGCACGGAGCCGGCCGTCCACTGCACCCAGCCGTGCGAAGCGATTTAGAGCAGCGAGCTGACAAAAGCGCTACGGATATGCAGACGAACACGTCCCAGCGACTCCAAAAGCGCGTGCGGACGCGACCTCTCAGCCTGCTGACCGGACTCATGCGGTGGTCGCCCACATCAGCAGTCATGCTGCATTTTCGCTGGGAGGATGCGCTGCGAACCACTTCAACACCGGCCTTCTCGACCTGAAGCACTTTTGCGTGCTCTCTGCTCGATGGCTGTGCTTGCAACCCTGCGGCCTTCCACCCCATCGGCCGCTTGGGCGAAGCCCTGCGAGCTCGAAGAGAGCATCTACTGACTGCTCATCGGATCCACTTTGCAGAAAACGGTGGAACATCTTGCTATGGACCTTTCTAGTAGAGTCCCGCGCTGGGTGCATGCTTGTGGACGGCAGCTGGCTCTTGCCTTTCGTTGCCCGACAGTGGCGTGCGCTTCTGTTGTGCCGTCAGAAAGTCACGATTCGGTCCAAGTTACCAGAGCTTTGTAAAATCTTGTTGGACCGGACACACTCGTCGAGACGAGCGTCCTGGAGTTCAGGGAAAGTCAACTATTGTATGGCAGAAGGGACTCTACATGCTGGATTGAAAGGCGGTGTACAGCATTCTGACATCTTCAACCACCCCCAGGCCAACTGCCGCCGTGCAAAGACAGGGTGTGTCCACATTCCATCTCATGTCGGGCCAGGGTTGTAAAGATCATGCATTAAGGCGCTCGCACGCGACCCAATTGTGCTCCCTGATGCACTTTCGGGTCGCCGCTAGGGTGCTCACGAAGACGGGTGACAGCTGTGGTACTCCGAGCACAAACCCTTTTGGTCAACTGCCTGTGCCCTCACGGGCGGGCAGCGCTGGAGCTGCACAAATTGCATACTCCCACTGAATCCCACTGACTTGATGGCCTCATGAACAACGTGCAGCCGTAGCGTACAGCATTCTGTCCAAGTAGAACGGCCGAAATTTTCTGGACTTCATGCTGAATTGGGTCCCAGTGCCGGGGGAAGTCTGGTGAACCCCACCATGTTTAGTTTTCATTTTTCTAACTTTTTGTTGTCCTGCTGCTGCAAGCTGCAAGAACAAGAACTAATCGGACATGTCGCTACTGCACACCCGACTGAACCCCACCCTTCCAGTTTAGTTTAGCCTCCCCCGCTGAATTGCAACGCATGGAACCGCGACGTTGACGGAGGGAGGTCTCTCCCCTGAATTTCTCAGCATATTCAGTTTCATGACACCCTAGCGGCCGGGAGTGCCAACAGGATGGTGTCCTCGCAAACAGGGCCATGCCACCACCTTTCATCAATCTGATCGCTCCGCTGCCATCTGGGTCTCTGCAGGGTGGATGTGCCACATCGATCCGTCTCGGAACCAGAGAAGGAAGAGCCGAAGGTTCAGGCTCTCCGTGGCCGTCCGTTGGCTGTCCCGGAGCTTTGTCCGAGCGGAGGTCCAAGCTCCGACTCAAAAAGAGCTGGCGCCGCCCAAGAAGCACAGGTAGTCCCCTCAGAAACGCGAATCGGGCATCCTGTAGCATCCGATGCTCCAGCCCACTTGCGGCCACGTGGACGCTGAGGTCTGATACTTGGGCAACTCCGGCAAGCCACAGCAGAGAAGGCCTGCAAGCAAGGCAGCAAAGAGGTATCAGCTAAAATGCCCGAGGGCACAGAGAACTTGGCGTGTTCTGCTTCGAAAACTGAAGTAGCAGCGTGTAGCAGCGCAAAAGTGCCATCAGTGCCGAGCGAAGGCGAGAGAAGAGCAGAGCGGCTGCACCGACGGCTCTCGGACCCTCTCGGCGGCACCGTCGGGGGCTCGTGCGTGATGGGGTTATGAGATAAGAGCGGTTGAGTGCGACTGTGTCAGGATGCACTTCAAAGCCTGTCTCAGCAGATGGCTCCAGGCAGCACAGCCTTCAATGTTTAATGTGTCTGCTATCCAGGGACAGCGCAGTAACCTGTGCGTTTTTACTGTGCCAGAGCTTTCGCGGTTGCATTTCTAAAGTACCCTCAGCCTTCGCTTGTCTGCATCGAGTGAACATGGCTAGGCTCTTTGACGTCTCCGGTGGGCCTCACGGCATGGGGTCCAGGGAGAGGACGTGACATAGGCGTCTTCTGCTAAAGCTGCACATGACAGCTTACCACCAGGCTGTTGTCGTGTTGCTGTTGGAGGCATGCTGACAACCAGCCCATTGGGACAGAGACAGCGGCTGCCGCCCCTGAGCGGCTCCGACCTGAGGGAATGAGGGCTGCAAGCCGAAGAATGCTGGTTCGGTGTCGAAGGCGAGAGTGCGCCGTCCATGGCGCCACCTGCGCGCCTGACCGCGGTGCTGGACCCTCAGATTCTCCCAATTGCCGAAGTCTTGCACGGATACAACTGTACATACAGTATGCATTGGAGGGACGACGTTGACGACAACTTCGTCCGGAGTTCAAGATGCTAATGCAGTCCAGAATAGGGTTCGGGCAGCTAAATCAAGCTCGCCCCACGAAGCAGGGGTTCAAACTCGAGAAGATCGCTCGACTTGCGGCCGGTGCCGATCAGGTTCTGAAGTATCATGAGGGCTCAACCCAAAACCAATAAGGTCTGTGCATGTCTTGTGGGACACAGCGGTATGTGGAACTTTTGAAAGCGCTGAAAGGTTGGCTCCTTCCAGTCCCAACCTGTCGCCGGCAAACTCCTCCGTCGGTACCGTCAAGGAGGAAGCGATTTTTCAGATTTTTGCAGAAGGCTTTCTCAGAACCTGAAAAAGCAGGGGGCATCGCTGGAGCCGTCGGATGCTTCCGCTTCCGGGGCCATGCCCTCGGTGACGCCCCGGCTCCTGATTACCTGTTCGGCTCTGGCGCCCCATTGTATCCGAGTGTCAAAGTTCCCCGGGCCGCAGGTCTCCACAGTGCTGCCCCACGCGTCGCCCGCGACATCACCAGGTGATAGTGCTGGGACGCTTTCGTCGCAACAGTACGACTATCTGGATGGCGTGTCTGCGTGATGCCAGTGTTCACGAGCCTTCTACAGGGTTCAACAGAGGCCACCTCACGTGATGTTTCCTGTGTTAGTTCTTCAAAGACTTGTTGCAATAATTACCATAAGGTGGGTTATGTGGGTTTCCCTTATAGTCGCGACTTAAGACCTCATTGCACAGAAGTGCATTCCCGATGGTCCCTCCTTTCAGACGGGCGTTTGGAAGACCCCATGTCGTCCTGCGACATGTGTTGCTCGAGAAGCACTTGTAGAAATCGGCTCATCTGTGAGATGCCTCATGCGGCTTGCACTCGGTCGCCATGTCCAAGTTCTGAGCATGATGCTAACGACAGAGAGCAAGAGCTTCCGCGATTGTGGACGGCTGGACGGGGTGACTCAGTGTTTTGGCGTTATGGCCACGCGGCCACCCCTGCTCTGAGCAGTTGTTGCATGCAAGGCCTTTGCCCAGGAATTCCTGGGACCTGTTTAACTATGTAGCAACTATGTATTCTGATTATTCTGGCTCCGAGACTAGGAGGCTTGTTGGGAAACGGCATTGAGTTGGCTGTTGTGATTTACGGACATTCGCCTGGTTGACCATCGGACAAAGATCGCCAGTCTTTGTTGACCTGTCCTCTCGGCCAATTTCGATGTCTTCCTTGTACTGTACTGCGATAAAATCATGGTTTTGGAGCGGTGAAACTCTGTCCTGGCAACGTTTGCACGCTTACTGCGGCAAAGAAGAAAGAGACAAAGAACAGTGAAAAACGGGTTGCCAGGTCACGTGCCCTCCGCTCGTCCTACACAGTTGTGCTTCAAGCACAGCCAGCAGCAGACATTGTGTCCCAAGAACGCTAATTCAACTGCTGCTTTTTGTACCTTGCATCGGCAATGCAAAAGCAACTTAAGCGCATGCTCGAGGGGTTTTAAAGGTGAAGTCATGAATGTACACGGGACCAGAAAGTCTGCGAGAAAGCTGGCATGTATTCCAGATTATGCTGCACGTACAGTGGTGTTACACCATTCTCATTGCATCATTGCATTTTTCGCATGGGCAAAAGGATCATGACCAGTTGTGCTATCGGCTGGGTTTCTTTTGAAACCTCCGCCAATCCCGTTGCCAACTGCACAAAGCAGGTGACTTGCGGTTCTTGACAAGACAGGTGGATGCAAAGTGTTTCTGGAGCAGAGCCAGATGGCCTTCGGGATGGGTTACACTTCGACTTTTGCACCTTGGTTACCCGTCTGAGATGTTCCAAACCGGACTCTCAGACTGAGTTTTGGACAAGCTGTGCTGCTCAGAGTTTCTGCTTTGCTTGAGAGACCTCTAGAGGTGACACAGCGCTGTTTGCTGAGTCAACGGTCGAACCTCTCCGTTTACAGCAAGTAGGTCCTAGATATGGGATGGAAGACTATTTGATGGCAACTGTTGTATCTGGCCGACACAGCTTGTTGCAGCTCAGCGATTGGTTCCCATGTAACATACGGCTTCACCGGTTCAGCGGTGACCAGGAGGAGTTGCAGGGTTGTGCCTGGGGTGCGGCAAGCACATCGGTTCATATATGATGTTCATATCGAGATGTTTAAGTGGTTTTCGATCTACTTGGGATGTTGCTGTAGGCTTCTCCCCAGCCATCCCTGCACTTGTAGCAGACAGGGATGAGGGGTTCGCTGTTTGCTCGCAAAGGTGCAGATGCAGGAAATGATGCTTCCCGTCGGAGCTGCGGCCGTCACTTTGCAATCATGTTTGTCTGTTCCAATCCCACTCAAGCAAGTGCATCAGCCACGAAACATGCGACATGCGGGCATGGCTACCATGGAGCACAAGTCATCAAGCTGTCGCCCGAAGTTGTCGCTCCCGACATATACGTTTAGTTAGAACAGGCAGCCTAGAAACACCTGGCGCCCCATACGCCCCGTCGTGGCGGTACCGGTAGTGCCGCGGTGCCATGGCAGCCCTGACAGTGAGACAGGTCGGCCAGGTTGCTCCGCCTTTGAAGCAGAAGGTGGAGCAGTTTCAGCAGATCATTGACAACAACGACCAGTCGGTGGCCCGCATCCGCGAGCAGCTGCGAAGACTGGAGCCGCAGCGAGAGCGGCTCTCTGATCAGGTCCAACAGCGGCAAGATGACCGCCGGTCCATTCATTCGCAGCTTGCGCGCCTGGAAGACTCCTTGGCCTCTTTCGGGGCTGAGAGTGTGCAGCTCGAGGCTGCAGCTGAGGAGATGCCACGCCTCCTGGAACGCATCGCGCCGGTGAACGCTCCTGGTGCACACGTGGATCCGTCTGGTTTTCGCAGACTGCCGGCAGCAGCCATTGATGTGCCTCTCCCGTACTTCGACGCCCTTGCAGAGCAGCTTGAAGCAAGGACGAAACAGGTCTGTGTAGAGCAAGATGAGCGCCGCGCTGTAGCTTGCATGCTATCCACATGACGCAGAAGAGCCTGTTTTGCCCCTGCAGGTCTACGAGAGAGTGAATGCTGTCGAAAAGGCCTTGGCGACATATAATCGCCAGGCAGGGGGAGGGAAGTATTTGGAGTGCTCGGTCCAGTCCCATGTCTTGGGAGTTGAGGATGTTCACACCACACACAAACACCAACAACAGATGCGCTGTACGAGTGGAGTGGTGGACCACAGCATTATAAAGGTGCACCACAAAGGAGAGCAGGCAGGTAATGCCAAGAAGGCAGCGTACCTGCCCGAATAGCTTGAAAGTTTCCGAGAAGCAGGAATCATGATTGACCGATGACCCCTGCACTGCAAGGGCTTGTACTCTCCGCAGGACATCTCAGAATGCGCGGGCCCTTCTTAGCGGGGTCTCTTCAGGCTCCCCTCTCTGGACTCAGTCGTGGGCCGATGGGCTCCGTTCATACTGTGACTCTCAGATGCGCATCCCCTTGAGGGATCCTTGAGCAGGTCATGAACCGGAGACTAACGATGCAGGTACTGTGGGCTCACACACCTGGCGTGGTTACATGTCGAAGACTCCTGCTCCACCGTCACAGATTTTGCTGCGGAATGTTAAAGCCGCCGATGGGCTTTAGACATGATCTAAGGCATTTAGGGCTTGGGCGTCGCAGTCTCGGCCTAGGCTCAAACAACAGTTTCTGTGCAAAAACTTTGTGTGCGCAATCATGTAATCCCAGAGCCCCTGGGAGTTCTCTAATGAAGGTGTGCTGTTGGGACCTTTCCCCAAATAGCCGTGGTTGGGGCCTCTCTTAAAGGAAGCATGGGAAACACCCGCTTGACAGGATGTGTGGCGCATGACTCCATCTCATCGTCTTGTGAGGAATGGGCAGGACAGGTTTCGGTCTGGGCCGTCCTTTGGTGATCTTTGGCGTACTTTTATGGAACTTCGCCTCTCTTTCCAAAAATCGCGGCATGGTATCCGCACAATAGAGTGGTCTTCTTTGCCAACAGCCGGAGAGGATTTCGAACGGCGCCGTGCCGACGCATGCAAAGGGCATTCGCTGAGTTGCAATTCTGGGCCCGAGCACCGGACCCGTGCGCGGCCTCGTATGTCTCGTGCTGAGACACGACGAAGCGTCGTTTGGGTCTGTACGTCAAAGATCGATGGGAATATCGATTTCCATCTGTGGCCCTGCACCGGGGAAGGGCACCAGGCCACCGGCCGGGAACATGTGCCAAGTGCGGCATCGATCAGAGCAGCCGATGAGTGCCGCGATAGTTGATAACACTGTGCGATCGTGGGACCAGACACGGCTGCCTCTTTTCAGCACTGCTACCAGTATCTGGTTGACCGTAAGAATGCTATAACTGCTACAGCTTCGTCACGATTCAATTATGATTGCTCGTATTCAGAGCACTTTCTGAATCCGCATTCCAAAGCCCCTCCCCCGATCTGACCCTTCCTGCAACGGTCTGATGTCATTTATTCCGTTGGGGTCGTTGCTGTCATGATTCCACACGCGGATGCGAGTCAAGTTAGAACAGCTCTCTGCCAGGTTTCAGGCGTCCCAGTGACATCGCAGATCGAGGCTCGTGTGCAGCTGCTGGTGACAATGAGCCTGTGCACTGCAGCAACACATCATCTGTTCGCTCGTGAAAAGTGAAAAAGTCTGCTGATCTACGCGGACGAAGTGTTGAAGGGTGACCTGCTTGAGTTGGTCGGATGAGGCTGTGGTGCGGTCCGAGTTCTTGCAGTTCAAAGCCATAGCTGCCGAGCTCGCACAGGACCAGTGTCGAGAACTTGCAGAATGGTTTTAACTTCGCAGTAGGAGACTGTAAGTGCGGACGTCTGAAGAGAAGGAAATAATAGGTACAGGTTCAACACACAAAAGTCGGCTATCAGGGGCCAACGGGTTGTGATTATCGGGGTGACGGGCGCCGCTTCCTAGGTGCACGC